GTCCTAGCTAGACTCTGGTCGCAGCGAGGGACCCACTACCACTGTGTGCGTGTGTGTGTGTGTGTGTGCGCGTGTGTGTCTGTGTGTGCGTGTGCGTGTGCTGGGGAACGGGAGGTTAAGGAATTGATGGAGAAGGTGAAGGAACTGAAAAGTCTTAGGAAAAATATGTTGTGTGTTTATCTGAATTATCAGTTGAACACTCTGCCATCCAGTGATTTTAATAATGAAAAAAACAATAAGACACCGACACAATTTTTGCCACTGCCCTCTCCTTTCCTTCGACTCTGACGGAGCGGAAGAAACTACAGTTGGAAACTACAGCCAGTTGTTTATATTCTTCCTAGACACTCTTGAGCTTTATTTTCCTTCTGTTTAGCGAACTTCACGATTGCTTGTTAGCACCAATATCTAAACTTACCATTTCCCTTCACGGTTTCTAACAACTCAGACCACATGAGTGTAAAGGTAGCATATTTATATTTTTATTACCTTTGCAAAAGAAACGTTGAGATGAAGAGAGGGAAACCGAGTCCATAGTAAAGATGGAAAATTAATATGAAATTAACCTATGTAATAAGGTGTGTGTGTGTGTGTGTGACACACCAGTACTTGACAGGACTAGTATATAGTGTGGCTTGAGCCAGAGGGTAGAGAAGAAAACCTTGGAGGTTGCTTAAAGTTGACTGTTTTTTCCATTGACAATTAGTAGGCCCTGAGAATCCACTGTCTGACCCATTCAAGTGTTGAAACTAAAGATTCATGAGGAAATGGCTGGCGGCTTTTGATTGTTCTTGTTTATACTCTTCTTTTTAAAATAAGGAGTGTAGTTTCTTCCCATACTCCACCATATAAATGTGGTGGATATAAGCGAAGAGTTTCACTGCTTTTAAGAGCAAAAACCCGTGGCATGTAAAGACGGTTTCAATCAGCCTAGGAAAGGAAACTTTTTCTCACTGGGGGAATCCACACTTGTTTCATCAGTGTCAGTATCACAGGTTAAATGACTGTCCAGGAGCCCGTAAGTAAACCCACTAACAAGCTTGTTGTTTTTCTTTTTCAACAAATCAGAGCTCCCTCATGATGGTCCTTCCAGGCCTCCAGGCAGATAGCAGCTCTCTTACCTTTTTCCTGGTGCCGATGTGCACCACTGAACATCTTGCTCTCCAGTCAAACTGTCAGCATCTTGCCGCATCTCTGTCTGCTGCCACCATTACGTGAGGCTCATTTACTGAGGACAAATTAAGTTTGTGTGGGCAGCCAAAGAGCTCAGAGGTGCTCGATCAACGTGGGAGGCGGAGGAGCAGGCGCATGCGCAGGAGCAATCAGGCTTCCAGTTTGCCAGATAATTGCCCTCAGAAGATCCCCAGAAGCTATGAAAAGTGAAAGGAAGGCTGCTACAGAGTTCCCAGCATTTTTTTGTTTTTCTTCCAAGTCTCCAAACACAGGCTTTGTAAATAAAGAACTGAGGTCTTGACAATAGATTACTCTAAAGTAGTGTTTAGTGCTCCCAGTTTCATGTAATCTGTCTCTGCGGTTCCAAAGGATTTGGGAGGCCCCTTAGGCCGTCTTGGGACTGCTTGCTGGATTTCTGCTGCCCTGGTCTAGCTTTGCAGGAATGCCTTAGCGTGAACCTAGACTTGAACTTTATCTGTCCTTTTGCTCCACACTTTATTGAAGAATCATAAATTGGTTCAAACCTCAACCAGAATAAAATACTCAGCCATTAAATGAGAAACGGTTAACAGATATAAAATCATAGCTAGATAGGAAAAATAAGTTCTAGTGTTCTATGGTAGTGCTAGGCATCTATAATTAACAATAATTTATTGTATGTTCTCAAAGGGCTAGAAGAGAGTTCAAATGCTGTCATCAAAAAAATGACAAATTGTTGCAATGATGCATTGTATACTTGTATTGAAATGTAACTGTATTCCATTTTAAAAAAGGAGTTTATGACTCATGCAAAAATATATGTCAGAAGACATGCAAGTTTCCTGTGTGTTTTAATGAAAAGGCTCTATGCAAGAGTGTGGTACACTGAGTTACTGCATAGTAAAAGGGTTATATGAAAAACCTTTGGGAAACTTCCTCTACAAAAACTCAAGGTTAGTAATATCACCCAAAGGACTCAAATCCACAGAAGAGGTTATTTGCTTTTACCTTCACACAAAGTACTTGGGACACTTTTTCATGTTGTTTGAATGTAGGAAGAGTATTCTTCCCTGACATTTGAAATGTTATACTAAACGTTGCTTTTGCTCAAACTTTTGAAAGCAGTGAGTGTTAATACGTTAAAAACAATACTTTTTTTCACTTAAAATAGAGCTAACACACTCAAAAAAAAGAGAAAATAGTGTAAAATGTGCAATGGAATAACATATCATGAAGGTAAAGAAAAATGTTTAATAATACCAACGGTAATACTTTTCTAAAGGGACTGTTGGTTTTGATTAACACCTTTTCTGTAAGTTTGAATCATTATCCACATATTTTAAGTACTGAAATTGCAACTGCAGCTTCTGAGTGAAAGTTCATTTTCAGCCTCTTAAGCTCTTAAAGTCATTTAAATCACCTGTTATTAAGCTCGTTCCCTAGAAACCAAATGAAAAATATTGGAGCAGTGGCTACATAGTTATTGGGTATAGAGGGTTCTTGTTTTTTCATCAATTTCTCATTTTTCCCAAACTGTATATTTTCTCCTTATGTCACATAAAGTTGGATTGTGTATAATGTCAGAATGCATTCAGTTTTTAATTGCAAGTGCCACTAACATTGCTGGGAAAAAGCTTAATATTATTTAAAAATATTTTTGCAGTATTTTATGAGTAGAAATTATGGTGAGGAGATATGATGAATATTGAGATTAATGAATTGTTTTATGTTATTACTCTCCAGGCCGGTCAGCTAAACTATGTGGATCCAGCTACTGGCTATGTGGTGCTCACACAGCTTGCCCACTTGCAGAGAGGTGAATGCTGTGGCTGTGCCTGCAGACATGTGAGTAGCAATTCTCGCATTACAGCAGCAGCTTGCGGTGCTTCTGTAACTTCATAAATACCTATTATTTGAACAACAGTCAAATAAAAAAGCCAAATAGACCTGGAGTGCACTTTTCACAAGCTACTTTAGTCAAGGACAATGAAGTCCTGAGTACCAACACAGGACCTTTAAAGTTAATGGAATTTTGTAGCATTTCGCTGTGAGCATCAGTTCCTTTAAATGCTTGATTTGAAATTCATGGGAGCTATTTATTACAAGGAAACTTTTCATGAGGTTTCAAATAAGTTGTATTCAGTAGGCAAGTGCAAAGAGGTCAGGAAAAGAAATCTAAAGTGTTGCAAATTAGATCCCAGAAAGCATTTTCTTCATTATTAGCTAAATATTTAGCAACTTGCCCAGCATTGAGAGGTTGGTTTCCTTCAGATGATAATGACTTTTTCTTTTCTTTCCTTTTTCTCTCTTTTCCATCCATCCATCTTTCCTTCTCTCTCTCTCTCTCTCTCTCTCTCTCTCTCTCTCTCTCTCTATGTAAGGTCTCTCTCTCTCTCTCTGGTTCTTTCTGTGTTTCTTTTCTAGTCTGTGTTTAAAATAACTGTGAGACAAGATTAACCCGAATTTAGTTGTGTACTTTTCCTAAAATGTTTGTTTCAACGGATGCATCTCTATATTCACTGATTAAGATGAAATAACTGCTCCTTTCCTACTTTGAGCAAAGCATGAATGGGAATGGGTTCCTCACTATTACTTTTCAAAGCATAGTAGTAAGGTAAATTGTTATAAGATTATAAACAGATAACCACCTCTGTTTACAGAACACTTTGTATGTTTTAATGCAAGAAGGTGTTATTTCCTTTAACTGACCCACTTTATAATTAAAGAATAGACACCAAATGCATGTCTCAATTGCAGCCAGTATTGGAAAATTAAGCCTTTGCTTTCATGTATGTTCCTACCTGTGCCATTAGCTGTTTCTAATCAAATGCATAAGAGCTTTGCATAAATTGAGGACTTGAGGATTTTCTGAGTGGATGTTTGACAGTAAAATTCTTAAAGTTGGAAGGATGCATTTAGGAAATGGTTCTTGGACCCTAATTAGGACCATTTGCCTGAGGTTGCTATTATTCTCTTCTTAGTTAGCAGGACCCGATAGATCCAATAATCTATATAACATTGTTAGCAGTCTGTAAAAGTGTACTTTTTCAAGATGATTGTTAAATAACTCAATAATAATTTGTTTTATTTTTTCTGCAGTGTCCGTATGGTCAAGTCAATGTTAAAGATTCATCTAAAAAGAAGCAGTTCAATTCATATTTTTATGTTTGACACAATTTCATCTCTGTTCTCTGTCTAACTGAACATGTATTTAAAAAAAAATAAAATAAAGCCCTAATCCAGAATTGCTCTCTGTGCTGTTAGTACTTGAGCATTTGTTTAATATTAAATATATATTAAAAGACCATCAATAAAATGAAAAAGCTAGCAAATGTTTGTGTTTCCGAAGTAGCACATTGATAGTTATTTTCCTTTCTTTCTGCTTCATTATCAGACACATATGTTGAAGAAAGAAAATAATGACTTCCATTAAATAAATAGTAGCAGTCAGGTCACATTAGTAGCTCTTAATTTTTCTTAGCCTCAGTTCTCCTACTGTTTTCTCATCAGTTTTAACAATCCAAGGGCGGTTGCTGGCAAATAGAGGAGTCTGAATACATTCATTTTATTTATATCTTAAGCTATAAGAAGATTGATATATTGCTATATTGTTTAACATATGAGTGCCCAAGAAGTGCCATCCTGCATCAAGAAATGCTCTCATCTTCCATCTGTTCTTTCAATAAAAACTTTAAATCATTTTGACTTGGGGGGTCAGGCTGATGAAGATGCCTCGCTTAGACCATTTTTTCTTCTCTCTCCCACCCTTTCCTCTCCCATTTTTTTTGGCACTTCCCTACCGAATCTATATTTGAGCATTTTATTAGCTTTACAACCATTCATTCACTGCAGGGATGCCCCTGGGTGTCAGTCTCCAACTAGAGCTAGGATCTCATAGGGACCACTCTTTCCACACCTTCTTCTCTACTTCCCTGTGAGGACAGCAGCTCCCAGGGAGCCCTTTCCTCGCCAGTGGAAGCTTTTCTGTAAAATGAGGCTGTTGCCCACTTGGAAACCTGGCTTTGCCCAGATCTGACCCTCTGCCTTCCCTCATGGAATCTGAAAAATTCTTGAGCACTTCAGGGGTCTGCCTCAGGCTCTGCCTGTGGCCTGAATAAAGGCTTTAGAGACCGTAAAGCAACCAAAATATTCTGGTGGCTTTCCAAAACATTCAATTCAAAATAAAAGCTCTTCTTAATTGTAAAATAAGTGAAAAAAAGCCCAATAAGGTTCTAATTTTCCCCTTGATTATGATTTCTATTGTTTTTTATGTCAAATATTAAACTGTCTCCAAAAATTGTTGGTATTTTTGGTGCCTCAGTTTTGCTGGTGCCCTATCCATGGTGCCCTTAAGCAACACTGCCCATGGGCCTTGTGAGGTGTCAGCAGCTTCCTTGGATGAAAAAGAGGTGTCTGTGGCCTGGTATTGTCCTGTCTAGAACTTATTTTCGGGAGGGAGTAGGAGAAGGTAATTAGCATTATGATCTTGGAGGCATTTAATCTTTCCAGAAAGGCATAGTAATTCCTGGGAGCCAGTTTCCTTTCCATTCTTGGATCAAGAAGCAACCAGCTATCTCCATGTTTTCCACTGGATATAAAGAAAACATGAAGCTAGCTGTTTTTCTAGGCCATTTTTCTGGATGGGGGATGGAAGGTGCTTTCTTCAGCAGCCCCAAGACGGAGAAGAGAAGGAAATGCAGTCTAAAAAGGTCATCTTTCTGGAGAAACAAGGGAATGAGGAAGGGACACTCATCTTGAAAAGGGGCCCAATGTATGACAGTGTTATGAGAAAGCCCTTTGGAAGGTGGAAATAACTCAACCAATGCCTTCTCTCTACAGGCGCTCTTTCCTCCTCCCAGTGCACTTCCTGCAGTAGGGAACTGGCTAAAGAAGAAAGGACGTCCATCACGGGCTACCCTACATGAGACGTTCGTGATTCTTCCTAGCAGAACTTCAAGCCTTGCTGGCAACAATAGCAAAGGAACTGCTGGGGGTGTGGGGTGGAGAGACGCGCTTACTCCTTCTTGCACCTGGAGCCAGGAGCCAAGGTCTGAAGTTCACTGTGGTTCTGTAGAGATGAATGTGAACCACACATCAGGGGTGGCAGCTCCCACATTAAACACAATATGACCACATAAATGGGCCTCACTGCAAGAGCTTTAAGCTATATTGTATTCACACATTGTAAAGTAAAAATTCAGGTTTCTTATTAGGTGTCTGTGTACAAACACATGTGGATGCTGAGAAATAGAGACTTCTAGGTTTAAATCAACTCTGGTGCTGCTCCACTTTCAAGGTTTCTGGAGACTCCTGTCCCAGGGTGCAATAAATCAAGGGAGATAGATTTCTAGATTATTTCTAACAGGGAAGGACCCAAAAGAAATGGGAATCTTGGGGGGGGGGCAAGTTACCATAGAAAGGGGTGGAGACAGATTCCCGCAGTGGTCGTTCTTCCCTTGGCTGGGGAAGGGCCCTGCCCTTGGCAGACCTCACAGCAGGTGGATCACGATGCACACTCTTCTCTCTTCAGAAGCCGTGCTGCCCCCAGCGATTATGTGGAGCAAGGAAAAGAAGGGCTTTTATTTTTTTCGGGTAAAATGTGGGGCTCCGAAACTGTGTGTTTGGAACAGAGGGGCCCTGAGAAGAAGAGGCACTCTCTGGGCCAGGCACAGGTCTGTGTTCCAGCACAGTGCCCTTTCTCCAAAGGCTTTCGCAAAGTCTGTTCTGTGTACACGGTTCCACCGTCAAAAACCAATGGGGTTTAGATTTGTCTCCTCCAATTGAGGCTGGGGAGGAAGGCTCACTACTAGACAAATGGCAATTGGTGTGTTGCTTTCCAACGAGCACTTTGAGAACACAAAGTCCCCGGCTAGCACACAAGGAACCTCGTCCTCCACTCCTTGCTGACAACTGCCACTTCATCTTCTCACTCGTTTGAGCGATGGCTTTGAGTTTGTGGACTGGACAATTTATCCCCTGAGAAGAATTTAAAACCCGGTGCCATTTTCCCACTACCTTGCAACAAATTAAAGGTACTTCTAAATGCCAAAATAATCCCCTCTCCAAAGGAAAAAAAAAAAGAAAGAAAGAAAGAAAATTTAGATATATAAGGGGGAGAGGGGTTCTGCATCCTCTGTGTGCTTCTGTGGAGAGCTTGATTTCCTAGAAAAATTGTCAAAGAACCCATAGCTATCTTTAGCCAGATAGGGGGTTGTCCCTGGAACGTCCAGCCTACCCTGGACCTCTCGATGCCCTGATGTGTAGGGGGGCCTTCAAGGGTTGACCCTCGTTCCCACAAACGATTTCAAGTTGGGCTCATGACACAAAACGGCCAGACTCACGGCCCTCCTTCCTGGGACTACGGGCGTAAAAGTGAGTGTTAACCGGGAATCATGGACTCTAGCGGGATGAGGATATCCCTGACGACAACGTCCTCCCACCCGAGGTTTGTATCCTAAAGTATGAGCTTCGGTGTGCACTTCAGTGTGCATGCGCCCGTGTGTGTGTGCGTGCGTGCGTGTGTGTGTGCAATGCAGGTCGTTATCAAATACCTAAAACGGTGTGTGACCCCAAAGAGATTAGAAACAGCTGCTTTGGACAGGGATGAGTTCAGAGCTCTAAGCATCTTAGGGTGGGTATCGCCGTCCATCCATTTGGTGGCTTTCTGGGAAGCTCGTCTCTTTCTGGCTGTGAAAAATGACCGAGATTGGGGGCGGGAGGGGGGGGAAGGATTCTTGAAGAAAGAGCTGAGGACAGGATGGGAAGGGGAAAGTCGGGGGCAGGGGAGCTTACAAGGTAAACTTGGTGGCACTGATTGGCTGGAGCGACTAGTTAGTGGAGCCAAGTGTTCGGGTGGGAAGAGGGATTCTGTCCGGGGTGTTCTGAGCGACATTCCGGGATTTGGGATTGAAAGACAAGGCCAGGGGCTCGTACTTGCCGCTCCTAGTTTGTCCCCGACCGCCCCCAAACTGTGTGGCGGGGCCGGCCGGGAGGCAGCGTCCACCTCCGCACGGCCCCTCGTGCCGCCCCAAACCTACGTGGTTTCCACAGCGGCTGGAAGGCGCCGCGGGCAGCCCTGGGCGGGCAGCCCTGGCCCACCGCGCCCTCGGCCCACGCACTCACCCAGGATCGGCTCTGGTGGCACGGGGGAGGGGCGGGCAGGGCGGGCGCACCGTCACCCGGACCGAGTCCCGCCCAATCTTCCTGCTCACGCTCCTCCCCACCGGCGCGGGTCCCCCAGTAATCCCCGGCTCCCCGCTTCGGGCTGTGAGGGGCGCACCGGCTCGGGGAGCGGGTGAAGAACTGGCCTGAGGCCCGGCCGTGCTTCCCGGTTCTTCCCCGACTTTCCGGAGACCTGCCTGCGCCCTGGGCGACGCAGCCCCCTCGGGAACTCGAGACCAGGTAACAGGCCCCCGCCCGTCCCGGGCCTGGCTGCGTCCCAGCGAATGGTCGCCTGCCAGGTGTGACTGAGGGTTTCCCTGGGAAGGTTCATCTCCACCCCACCCTCTAGCCGGAGCCCGAGCGGAAGGTGCCCGCGGTCCCCAAGCCGGCCCGGCGGCTAACACCGCCCTCGAGCCCAGAATGCATCCAAAGTGACCGGTTCCTGACGCCAAGCCCGGGAGCGCGGGGAGCGCAGGAAGGACCGGGAGGGGGAGGCAGAGACGGGGTGGGTGACCATCAGTGGCTTAGCCCCGTTTCCCGAAGGAGCTCCCGCGCACTCACCGTCTGTGCGCACCAGCTGACGGCGGCACCTTATAGGGACGAGCTGCAGGAAGGCAAAGGCCGGCTGGGGGCCGAGAGCCCCGGAGCGTCCCGGGACTCCAGCCCCGTCCCCGCCGCCCGCTGCGCCCAACCCTCGAGACGCTCTCGGCTTTCTGAGGTTCAGTCACCGCCGAGTCCTCCATTGACCGAGAGGCTGGGCGGGCCGAACGTATCCTCGGAGCGTGTCCCCGGGCACCGGCCCGCGGCTGTGCCTCCGCCCACCCCATCCTCCTCCCCGGCCCGATCTGGAAGCAGAAACAGAAAATAAAAGACCGGCGGAGGGATCCGAGGGTCAGAGGTGGGGATTCCGGTCAATTCCGGCAGAGAGCGGTGAGCGACAGAGGGGACAAATTCATTTCATCCAAACGTTTATTTACTTATTCGGATTAACAGGGACCATCGGCGGGACGCAGGGACCGGTGCGCACCTCTGGCCGCCGCCTCCCGCCCTCTATTGCCGTGAACCGAGTTCTTGGGGGGAATATTTGATATCCGGACCTCGAGGTAAGATCCCACCGGGGGGGGGGGCGTCCCAGTTGGAGCAGTTTTCTGTCCTCGGACGGCGCCCAGACGGCCGGGAACCCCAAGGGCTGCTCGGGAGCCCACCCGGGGGAGATCCGGCTTTGCTGGAAGCCGCGCGCCCACCTGAAGTCCCCGGGGGAGGCGCGGTTTGGACGCGCCCGCTGGGCGGGAGGAGGCGCTTGGGCAACCCCGGCTGTGCCCCTCGGCGGGCGCGCGGCTTTTCTCTGCCAGCGCGACCCCCGTCCCGCGAGATCAACGTCTTCTGCAGTAAGAATGCTGAACGGTACCGCTCTGGAGGCAGGTGAGTTCCGTGCCAGGTGCCTTCTCATTTCCTCGGTCCCTTTTCCTGGAACGATTTTACTCGTACCCCGTGTGCGCGCGGCCACACGCGTGCGCGCGCCTTCTTGGGTGCCACGAAGAGGGGACTGTGTCTGTCTGAAAAACTCAACCACACTTCGTAGGCTTGAAAATACACAGCCTCGTCCGGAGTCTCCCTGGGGCGCCCTGGGCGACGCAGCCCCTCGGGAACTCGAGCCCAGGTAACAGGCCCCCGGCCGTCCCGGGCCTGGCTGCGTCCCAGCGAACGGTCGCCTGCCAGGTGTGACTGAGCGTTTCCCTCGGAAGGTCCATCTCCACCCCCACCCTCTAGCCGGAGCCCGAGCGGAAGGTGCTCGCGGTCCCCAAGCCGGTCAGGCGGCTAACACCGCCCTCGAGCCCGGAATGCTTCCCAAAGTGACCGGTTCCTGACGCCACGCCCGGGAGCGCGGGGAGCGCGGGTAGCGCGGGACGGACCGGGAGGGGGAGGCGGAGACGGGGTGGGTGACCATCAGTGGCTTAGCCCCGCTTCCCGAAGGAGCTCCCGCCCACTCACCGTCTATGCGCACCAGCTGGCGGCGGCACCTTTTAGGGACAAGCTGCAGGAAGGTAAAGGCCGGCTGGTGGCCCCGAGAGCCCAGGAGCGCCCCGGGACTCCAGCCCCGTCCCCGCACCCCGCTGCGCCCAACCCTCGAGACGCTCTCGGCTTTATGAGGTTCGGTCACCGCCGAGTCCTCCATTAACACCTCCTCTGATGACCGAGAGGCTGAGGGGGCCGAGCGCAGCCTCGGAGCGTGTCCCCGGGCACCGGCCCGTGGCTGTGCCCTCCGCCCACCTCTCCTCCTCCCCCTCCCGATCTGGAAGCATAAACAGAAAATAAAAGACCGGCGGAGGGATCCGAGGGTCAGAGGTGGGGACTCCGGTCAATTGCGGCAGAGAGGGCTGAGCGGACAGAGGGGACAAGTTCATTCCATCCAAAGGTTTATTTATTTATTCGGATTAACAGAGGGACCATCGGCGGGACGCAGGGACCGGTGCGCATCTCTGGCCGCCGCCTCCCGCCCTCCATTGCCGTGAACCGAGTTCTTGGGGGGATCGTTTGACATCCAGACCTCGAGGTAAGATCCCACCGGGCGGTGCCCAGTTGGAGCAGTTTTCTGTCCTCGGAGGGCGCCCAGACGGCCGGGAACCCCAAGGGCTGCTCGGGAGCCCACCCGGGGGAGACCCGGCTTTGCTGGAAGCCGCGCGCCCACCTGAAGTCCCCGGGGGAGGCGCGGTTTGGACGCGCCCGCTGGGTGGGAGGAGGCGCTGGGGCCACCCCGGCCGTGCCGCCCGGCTGACGCGCGGCTTTTCTCTGCCAGCGCGACCGTCGTCCCGGCGAGATCAACGTCGTCTGCCGTGCGAATGCTGAACGGTACCGCTCTGGAGGCAGGTGAGTTCCGTGCCAGGTGCCTTCTCATCCCTCGGCCCCTTTTCCTGGAACGGTTTTACTCGTACACCGTGTGCGCGCGTCCGTACGCGTGTGCGCGCCTTCGCTGGGTGGGACGACGAGGGGACTGTGTCTGTCTGAAAAATCCAACCACGCTTCGTAGGCTTGAAAA